TCACACGGGATAAACAAGGAATGTTGAAGGCAAAATCACATGGGTTATCCCAATCTCCACTAGTCCAAAGGCTTTAAATTCTAAGGAAACAAAGAAATAGCATGTGAAAATATGCAAAGTATGCAAGTTTTCTGAAATCAGAGGGAAGATCAATAAACACATGTCATCTGTTGATAAGTAGGTTTAAAAAAAAAAAAGAGAAAAGAAAAAAATAAAAATAAAAAATGATTTGGTTGGAGAGGCTCTGCTGTGTAACCAAGGGTACGTTAGCTCATTCCACATTCTTTATGCCCAAACAACATCGACCCCCATTTTGATAGAATCCATCAACTTCCCTGCTTTTTACCAAAGCTCCACTTACCCCCTCTTCTGGCCCAATGTTACTTATTAGTTACACTAATCCTCCTTCGCACCACATATTATACTACCTCCGTTAATAGTTATCTGCAACTTTGGGGTATTATTTGTGAGAGATAAAATATTCAAAAGTTGCAGATAACTATTAACGGAGGTAGTAAAACAAAAGGTGTAAATTTTAATTCAGAAGTTAGATAGCGACAAACATATCATATTGAATCCAATACTCGCACATTAGGTAACTCTGTTCCGGAGGGAAGAGCAATAAACAAATGTCAACTGTTCATCCAACGCTACCAAAACACTGTTATTAAATCCAAAACCCATCACCCTCATGCTGTATTACCTATCTCCTCACGAACCTACTGGACTGCAAAGACAAGCTAATACATTATGAACCTGCAGATCTAGTAGAAATCAGCTTCAGAGGCTCATTGCATGTGTCAGTATAGAAAAGGAGAAAAGAAACCGGTAACAATACCACTACAGCACTACCCTAATCAGTTAACGACCATTACTAACATGGAACGCATAACCACCGCTGATGACTCAAGACTTTAACGTCCAACATCTTGGTGCTGCCTCCAATCCCAATAGCTGCTAGACTCATGCCTAGAGAATAATAAATACTACCTCCGTTTCTTATTATTTGCAACAAAGGGGAATTATTCGTGAGACATAAAATTTTCATTTGTTGCAAATAATAAGAAACGGATGTAGTATATCTTCTTACAATCAAGCCAAAACACCCTAAATACAAAGATAAATAAACTCAATTTCAGCTTTCAGGACATCCATCCATTCAACCACATTTTAGGATTGGGACAAACCTACCACATGTGACATCACAAGAATATGGACAACGATGGAAAGACTATCAAGAGATCCCAATAAAAAGATGGTTTGAGAGATGCACTATAAGGCAGGGTTGCCGGTTGGGGGTTGTTGGTGGTGAAAATGTGGAATAGGAAAAGATGTTAAGTGGGTTAGACATTAGGAGTTTGCATTAGAATTAAACCCAATATGGTTAATGAGGATCGAATGGTCCGAGCACTTTCATATGCCTTATAAGATTATAAATCATCAAGCCCTTCCCTGAGCCAGAGCAGGAGTGGCGGCCACCGCCCTGGGGCAGGGAGAAAAGGTCCAATTTCATAGTTCCCTTCTAACATTAAAGGATTCTGCAACACATTAGCAAAATAGCAACCAATTTGATTCAATTATCAAATTAGGCTCCAAAAATTACACAACTTTAGGTAGAAAAGGTCTAATTTCATAGTTACATCCTAACATTTGATAAAAAAAAAAAAATCAAATTAGGCTCGACAAAATAACATAATTTTAGATAGAAAAGCTCCAATTTCATAGTTCCATTCAAACATTACAGGCAAACTTGATTCAATCATCAAATTAGGCTCGAAAAAACACATAATTTTCATCTCTAGCAACAAAATCGCTCGTTATGATCTTTTATAACCTTAGTAATTATAATCAATAGTTCAATAATCCACTTTATATGAACCCTAAATTGATTATAATGACAACAGGATTAACGATAAACCCTAGATTGTGAAACTGATATTCGATAATTACAAAATGAAACAACATCTTACCTCGAAAGGTGCTTCAATGGAGGATAGAAATTTAAGAAATCGCCTAAATTGAGAACGTAAAGTGCGCTTCAATGGAAAACTGAGATAAATAGAGAGCAGGAGGAGGACAGATCTACGTTCATCCGTTTATGAGCTTAAGCCGTATAACTTTTATACTCCGTATCTTTTCGATTCTAAATACATAGTAATTGCAATACTTGTCTTATTAATCGGTTTTTTGATAGGAATATAGGAGTGTATATTTGAGAGTAAACACAAAATACGGTCCCTAAACTTTGCCAAAAGTTTAATTTTGGTCTCTATACTTTCAAAAGTCTGATTTTGGTCCCTCAACCACCAATGACTCATCAATTGTGGTGGACTGGTGGTTATTGTAATGAGCCAGCAAAGTTTAGGGACTTTGCCATATTTAATTGCTGACTGGACCAAAGTTTAAGGACTTCTAATACTGACTGGACCAAATTTAGGGACTTTGCCTTTTTTAATTCAATTGCTACGAACTATGTTAATTAACCATATTTTTAACTTTAATTAATCTAATTATTTTACTCATTCCAATCTTGAATTTATTTAATTTCCCACATTAATTTTAATAACTTTATGTTCTCTCTCCTCAACTTCTTACCTTCCCCATTTTTTAAGCTCCACCACCCTACATATACATACTACTTCCACTGGCAATCTAGCACCACCCTCTCCCACCGAAAATAACAAGGTGGTGGTCGTCGTCAACTTGACATGGGTTATCCTTCAATTTTTTTTTCTTAATTCAAAACTTGTTTGTTTTCAATTTGATTTTTTTTTTTTGTTTAATTTGACTGACATTTTAGATTTGTTGGTAATTGGTTTTTTTTTTTTTTTATTAATTTTAAGACAGTTGTGGTCTTATAATGGTGGCGCCCAGTGGTTGTTTATGTATTGGCGATGGGCTAGTGGTTGTGGTGGTGGTGGTGACTATTGTGGTTATGTTTAGGTAATTGGTAAGGATAAATTATTGAGTGAGTTCGGCAATTAGAAAGGTTAATTTTCTGGGATTAATACTTGGAATGCATGGAAGTCCCTCAACTTTAGTCCATTCAGCAAGAATAAAATAAAATAAAAAATGCAAAGTCCCTAAACTTTGGCCATGTTAGCAATTACATAGGCATGGGTCCCTAAACTTTGCTGAGTCATTGTAATAGCCACCACAAATTATGACTCATTGGTGGTTGAGGGACCAAAATCAGACTTTTGAACGTCGAGGGACCAAAATCAAACTTATACCAAAGTTTAGGGACCGTATTTGGTCTTTACTCATATATTCGATATGGTTCATTTTTTTTACCACGCGTCCACACATGATACATATACATGAAATAATAACTTATGCAAAATGTACAAAGTAATTACTCCCTACTATAGGCTCACTTTATGTGAGAGCTTTATTAGTCATATGATGCAATAAAAAAGGACCAAAGAAGTGAATGTGTGTGAGCTTTAAATATTCATTGTTGAATTTTGATTGTTGGGTGCCCAAGAGAGTTGGGTTTGGTTAATCTTTGTCAAAGCCCTTCTCACAAGGAATCAATTTTAGGATGCTTGGAATATGCATTTAAGGTTGGATCCTCTTTGTTTGGAATTTGATAATTGGTGTCAATCCAGTCTTCATGAACATGTAACCTTGATTTCTATAAAGGAATGCAAGTTAGTAATATTGAGGATGGGCTCAAGGATCGCTCTTTATTGTAGTGTGCACAACAAAATTAAAGATCCATCAACCCGTTTGAGTGGTTTGAACGTTTTGTTTGTAAAAGTGACACATCCAAAAACATAGTAATGAATTTTTTTTTTACTTTTATTAGCTTGATAATTTAGCACAACCAAAATGAGTTTTAGCTTATTAGACTGGACAAGAACCAAATTAGCGATTAATAACTAGAGTAAATTGCCAAATGAAGTAAAGTTTTCTAGCTAAATATATCACTTATTCAATAATTAGCGGTATATTAGTAACAAAAAAACTACCACCAAGTGCATTATCTGTATCACCTTGATAAAAAAAAAATGGTCATTAAGTAGTTGTTCTAAGGACTACTATTTCAATTAGCGATTAACAAAAGTAAATTGCCAATTGAAATTTTGATGTAGCGATTAATAGTTAAACAAATTAGCACTTTAAATAGTAATGAAAATGCTCATTTCCATTTGGCTATCAATTTTGCCTTAGACAAAAGTGTTAACTTAACATTTTATCCTCGACAAAATCGTCTAATAGTTAGCAATTTATTTCAAATAAAAGCTATTATTTCAAGTAGAAACCTTACCTCGAACCAATACAAGAGAAATATAATATTTGCAACTATTGATGTGGACGATAAATCTTTAATTATGTTTTAAAAATGGCACAATTATGGAAATTTGACAGCTTCTATAAGTGTTATTTATGAAAAAAAACCGTTCTTATGTGCCTTTATTTCTAACTTTAAAGAGTAATAATGTGATGATACTTTCGCCTTAAAGTAACCATCAATGTCATATTGGATGGTGTATTTAAAAAAACATATCGATGTACCTCTCTAATTTTTGCTTAATTTAATATTATAATGGATAGTACAGTATTATTTTAAAAAATTATTAGCTTAATTCAACCTAGTCATTCAATAATCTCATGCCAACATTATTATTGTATTTTAAGATCTTGCTTCAAAAACAAACTTTGATTTTGGAGTTTGATTCTCATATGTTTCAAATTTAACTTATCCTCTTTTTAATTATATCCCAATAAAACTTGACTAGTCAAACAAATTACTTAGAAATTACTCAACCTTGTAATCTGGACAATGATTTCCAAAATTCTTTATGGTTTATGTCCCTTTGTTGAGAAGCTTCTATTGGAAGATCATATTTGTAAGGCTTTGAATAGAGAAGTTAAAAAAACAAATAATGTCAAATCATAACAACACCACCTCTTTTATTGCAATATAATGATGGAAATAATAATCTCTTAATAAAAAAGTATACACCTCAAATCATAATAATAATAATAATAATAATAATAATAATAATAATAATACAAAGAAAATTACTCAATTCCAAAAAATAAAAAAAGATGTACTCGTATTACAAAATGGGTGTGGTGGTAGTACAACCGTACAACAAATTAAAAATCGCACATGAAAACAAGAAGAGTGAATAAGACGGTCCAAAATAAGACCAAATAATTTGAACGTATCTAAAAGGCTAAAGCGTGTGAAACGACGAAAGTATAACACCGCAAATAAAGCAGGAATAGTCGGTAACTTTGACAATGTTGCGTCTGAAGAATCACCATCTGTTGGTGATGTTTTAGATCCACTTCCTGCAATTTCACATACGTATAACTTATTAGTATTTGTGCGAATGAAATATTTGTACTTGTGTTAATGCATAGGATAATTTCAATTTGTTTAAAACGGCAATATGATGAATGTTATTTTAGTTCCCTTAATATGATCATGGATGTATGCGAGTTTTTAAGGAAATATTAGTAAATTCTTTTTAAAGTTTGAAGAATAATGTCTAAAATTACTTAAATGAGTATTCAATAAGTGATTGTTAAAGTTAGGTACAAACCTGGACTTCCTAATGGAGATCCTGCTGGAGAAGCGGCTGTAAAAATACCACACAATAAGTATTAGAATTTGATAAACTGAAATTAACGATAACTATTTTCGTTTTTTTCAATTTACATGTTTGGACTTCTTTTAACTACTTATACACTCTACTTAAACTAATTTTTTATGATTTACAAATGAAAATAAAAATAAAAACATATTATTATAATTTTGTTAACATGTTTAACTGTGTATCTTACGTATAAACGTAAGTTTTTACTTTTTTGAAAGTTAATTATACTGTTAATAAATAATTACTTCATCATAAATTATACGTAGTATAGTACGAGTAGAATTTATAAATTAAATTGGTGAAAACATAAAAAAGAAAAAAAAAAATCATATGGTAAGTTACCTTTATTACAACGGCTAAGAGGAGGAGTCTGAACATTGCAAGCATTAGGAAGAGTCAAAGCTTGAGTTTGGTTAATGTTCAAACCAGCAGCCAAACCCGAGGCTCCACCGTTAAGAACCTCGCACAAGCATTCTGGTGAGGACTTAACAACACTACCTAGCTGGCTGCAGCAGCTTGATGAGGGCGTCGACGAGTTCCCGGTTATGTAGTTTAAGCAAGGTGACAACGTAACCAACACATTTGTGCAAGCACCACTTAGCCCTGAAGAGCTCGGTTGAGCCATTGACATAGCCCACATTGAGCTAATTGCTAGTACTAGAACCATCACATATTATTTTTATGTTGTTTTTCGTTGCTTTTGTTTGATTATTCAAAATTAAGCTTCAATTACGTGTCTTTCTTGTTTGTCTCTAGAATATAAGATGACTTAGATCGAATGATGGATGCCTTAAGAGCTACGACCAAAGCAACTGATTATAAGTATTCCGAGTGAGTTTCTTCCATCTTTCCATGTAATTTAATACCAAGTACTATAATAAGTTTATAACACGTCTTTTTCCAAAATGATGTTACTGTTAGGTGATCTAGAATAAAAGAGATATACAAGTATTATTTGGATATATTTAAAAATTGTGTGGTTTAAGTAAGATAGAGTTTATAAAAATTTGTAGGAGTAAAAGAAGCCTAAGAAGTGAATAAATTAAGAAAGTGAAAAAGTGTAAATATAATAGCATAAAGCAAAGCACTAAGAATTCTTAAATATAGGAGTAATAATAAATAAATAAATAAATAAATAAATAAATAAATAAAAGCAAGGCATGAAGAAAATTTAAATTATTACCAAAATGTAAACTGCTACTCCCTCTACTTTGTAATAATCGATGGTTTGACTTTTTACACTATTTATATACTTACGTACTTTGACAATACTTTTTATTAATATATAAATAAATATGTTCTCATGTAAAATGTTTTTTAGATTAGTCTTTATGTACATTTTTATCACCCTTTTATACTTCTTAATAATATGTATTTATAAATTAAATATTAATGGTCAAAGTTGTACATTGACATGTGTATTAATCAAAGTGTTGCGATTATTATGAAACATATAGAGTAATAGAAAATTTCAGTTACATTACGTATATTCCTAAAATACTACGTACTTGTTTTTATCAATTTTTCGTTAGGAGTGTCTCATAAGTCATAATATACTTTTCTATATTGATTTTAATAAAAATTCTATGGGGTTGACTACTCATATAGTCATATATTCCTTAAATTCGTGCTAGTTACATTATTAGTTTAAAATGGGGCTGCTGGTAAACTCATCAAACGGAGTTCGATTTTATACGACCATACAAAACATATATGTACATCTCTGGAGAGTCAACAAAACTAACGTGAGGTTATAGACTTCCCTTTTAATTTAAACCTATTCAAAATTCAACAGGTGAAAATTATGACTGAGTACGTAAGAAGCATAATTGAAGAAAAGAGTTGTAGATTTCTTGAATGTCATTAATTTTCACATCATGATATATTTTATAGCGAGTATTATAATATTTTTTTATCATCTTATATTAGAAATAACTGACAAGAATTTAATATCCAAAAAAATTCTACGTATATAACAAGACTCCAAATATTATGACTTATGATTTATGAAACACTGTAAAATATGTGTGCCAAATGGGCCACCTCTCCATCAATTTTGACTTCTGGGTTGTTTTCAAAACTTTATTGTACATGTTACATTTCTTAGTGGATAATGGCTTAGGGCTAATTGGCCACTTCCCCAACGTGTAGTTGCAAGAGGGTTAACAATTTGGAATGTAAGAAAATCCATGGAAAGTCCGAAATATGTTGAATTCATATGGCTTTTTATAAATAAAAGTGATCAGAGCAATACACGAACAAGCTTATCTAAATTGAAAATTTTCAATATTATAAGCACGTTTTTAACTTTAAATTGCAATATTAGCATAAACACTTGAAGTGATGAAGAGAAGAAAGAGGGTAATATGAAATGGGAATTCGATCATGCTTCCATTAGATGTGTTCTTAGAATCCGATTTTGGTCCTGTTCCTGCATAATATAAATTCACCAATTAATAGCTACTGAATTTTTTTTATTAATAACGTTCAAGATTGATATATGTCAAAATGCTCATATTATTTGTTAAGGTGAGAGTTTGAAGTTAATTAGTATGAACTCGTTTTCCCAAAGACTTTGGCGGAGCATGATTTGCAATAATAAGTCTGTCTAATTATTTTCTTAGAATAAAAAAGTAAGAAGAAAAGATCTCTAACCAGTCTTTGGCCCTAACGGTTTTTAGGAAAGGACAAGGGATTGATCTCACCTTCAAATAACTACAGCAGGCTACAATAGAGACCTTGTGATCTCAAGGTTATAAGGTAAATTCCTAACCAACTACGCTAAGCTATAAACCAATTGCTCTAATATACGTACGTACCAGCTGAAGGAATGGTAGGAAGTTTAGGCAATGTTGTATTGTTAGGATTGACTGAACCCTTTGGTGTGGAAGCATTAGAAGGCAAATCAGATAGGTTGAGTCCTGCAGGAAGTTTATTGCATTCGCTAACAGGCTGAGTTTTGACGCGACAGATTCTAGGGAGGGATTCAGCCCTGGTGTCATTGATGGGTACTCCAATTTCAGCGCCATTGCCTTTGAGGCCAACACAAAGACACCAAGGTTGTGATTCAACAATAGCATGTAGTTGCAAGCAACACGAGGAGGTCGGGGTGGAAGAGCCTCCCGTGATGAATTCAAGACACGGCGATAAGCTTACTAGTGCATCTTTGCACGCTAGTGCTAAATCATCATCACCCAGGGCTACACCCGACAACATGGTCATGACTAGCATCAGCGCGACTAGTGAGGCCATTTTTATCTTGTACGTGTTACAATAACAAAAACAGAACATCTAAGCACCTTTGTTGCTTATATTTTTTCCCCTTGAAAATGTTCAGGAAAGTAATGAGGATGAGTTTTATAGGGAAGTGGTTAACATAAAAAAAAAAAGTCAAAACTAATGTCTAATTTAGGCATGTAAGTGAATTAACTAGGTTCAAGTTTAGTTAATATGCCAGGTCTAGTTTGTCTAGTGTTTAATCATAAATTGCTAATTTTCCTTTCATTTGGGGTACTAAAATTGGTCATCAAAGCTGTATATCCTATAATTCATATTGTTGATGAAAAATTCTAAAGTAAAGTTCTGTAACCAACTTGAATCCAACTACTTTCTTATCAGTTAATCAAGTAATAGTCTGCTATATGTTTAGCACAAGTGCCTTCTATAATCCATTTCTCATAAGTTTCATGTACATTACAGTACATCCTTAAAATTGTTCCTTTGGCAAGAACCTCATGTTACCGATCAACATTGAGATTGTTTGTCCGTGAATAATCAGCCACATTTCTATTCTAATATAGAAGTATATTAACTAGGCAACTACAATCATTACGGTGTTGTATTTTGACTAAATTAAACTTTTTGTAATTTGCTATAGGACACTTTTTTCTTAGTTACGATGAAAAGGTTGAAAGAGACATCTTAAAATTAATCTGAAAAGTGTGGTACAACTTTATTAATTTCAATCAAGCAAACAATATTACACAAACTGCTCAACAAATTCAATGACAGGGCCAACAGGGGAGCCAATATGGTCCCAAAATTCACTCTACAACCATGACAAACTAATTAATATAGTACAATCACATACATAAATTTTGCTAAAGGATGCTACAAAATGGCTCAAAAAATTGCCAAAGCAGAAGTACAGGACACAACTGAGAGTATAAAAGACAGCAGATAAAGGGAAGATGTAATGGTGCTTCCATTTGATTCATCAGTTGATGGTACTGTCTTGGATCCTGATCCTGCAGTTATAAAAAAGCTTGCATCAGATTCTTGTTTTTTCGGGTTTTGTGTAAAACATATTTAGAAGTCATGTATGTACCTGAGGGAAAATCAGCTGATGGGCCTTCAGGTTCTGCATCTGGTTTTCCTGCTGCTGGAGAACCTGCTGGAGCTGCACCTGAAGCTGAAGGTCCTCCTGTTCCTGTTTAAAAAAATAGCGCGATTTTATTATATAAGTGATTATATTGTGTACTAGTCCGTATCATACTTCCGTTACTTAAAGTGTAAATGTAGGGAAATTTAGTTATATACAGTATTATGAAGAAGTAATTAGTCATAAACTCATAATTGAATGGACAAAAAGCTTACCACCACATTGACTAACAGGTGGAGTTTGTACATTGCAAGCATTGGGTAGACCGAGAGCTCGGGTTTGGTTGATTGCAACACCTAAAGAGGAAGCTGCCCCACTGCTGAGAGCCGAGCAAAGGCACTGAGGCTGTGATTGGACAACGTTTGAAAGAGCCGAGCAGCATGAAGATGCAGGGGAAGAGGAGTTGCCGGTTATGAAGTTAAGGCAAGAGGACATGCTAAGTAACACATTTGTGCAACTGCTGCCGCCTGATTGAGCTTTTACTCCATTCCATGTTAAGGCCATTACTAAAACTAGGAGCACTAAACATACTTTAGATCCTCTTGAAGCCATTTTCCAAGAAAAAAAACTAAAGAAAGTAAGAAAAAAAAAAAAACAAGTGATTAAAGGAGGAAAATTGAGAAATAATTAGTTGAATTTAGATGAGGATGATAATTTTGGGAAAGAGAGGGAAGATTTTATAGGATTATAGTTGGAAGTGGACAACAAAGTGCAGTTAAGTTTGGGTGGCCAAACCAATATTTTGTTCATATGGTTAGTTGAGCTATATAGTTTATTTTATATCACTTGCATGATTTAGCATATTATTTACATTTTCTAACTTAGTCTTGTCTGATTTTCTTTTTATTCAATTCCTACCTATCATGTATTCTAGTATGAAATTATTTGGTATGACGAAGTAGATTTAACAAAGGGCATATGTATCTTGAGAAACTAGTTCATGTCATACCAAGTTCCTCGATAATCTAATTTCACAATAATAAGAAACAAATTTAATTTGAGAGTTCTTTTCTCAACTCCTTCCGTCTGAAATTAGTTGTCACATTAAAAAATCAAAATAACTCATAAACCATAACCAATATGACGTTCTTTTATCACCTATCAATCATTTCTACAAGTAGATGTCCAATCAGTAGAAGCAATTGCTATTTATGCTCAAGGGATAACATTTCAACCAAGTCACAGTAAAATAACATTGAAATATGCTACAATAACTATGTAAAATAACATTGAAATATGCTATAATAACCATGCAAAATAACATATTTTTTTTTACATAAAAATAACAATCTTTAAATTATAATCTTCACCTAACATTCCAAACACAACCAAATCATTTGTTTATAAAATTTGGACAAACAAGTATATAAATAAAAATCATTAGAACCTTCCACTCATATCCTTCCACATAAGTCAGAGGCAGTTGGTCTCACTACAGAAATACTCTGCTTTTACTCATAATAACACTCAAAATACACTTCCACTCTATAAATCAGTCTTTTTTTTTGTAAGTTCTTCACCACAAAAATTCAGCAAAACAAAAAACACTTGGAGAAAAGTACTAAAATCAAGTAAATGGATAGGTTAAATTTTACTTCATCAAAAGCAGCATTATCCATCTTAACTTATATTTTAGTAGTAAGTTCAGTGAATGGGCAGGTAACTACACCATGCACTGCCTCAATGATAGCCACCTTCACCCCATGCATGAACTACCTGACCAGCAGCACGGCCAATGGCTCATCCCCATCGTCGAACTGCTGTGGTGCCTTGAGATCAGTGATGAGCAGTAGTGTCGACTGTGCTTGCCTCATGGTCACTGCTAGTATTCCTCTGCCTCAACTAGTGAACAGAACTCTTGCACTTGGACTCCCTAGGGTTTGTAACAGTGGTGGTGTTCCTATTAAGTGTGAAGGTATGTAACTGGCCTCATTTCATGACCATAATTTCATAAGATTATATTTAGTTTTGATTTTAAAATTGTTAAATATGTAATTGGGTTGGTGTTTTATGTCATCTTGCAGCATCTGGTAGTCCTCTCCCTGCTCCAGGTACAAATTACTATGATCATTTTTCTTACCTACACTATGTCCGAAACTATAATAGTCACGTTAATAGTGTAATATGAATGATTTAAAAGTTGAAATCCGGATGGACAAAATACTACTGAAATTCAGCTTTGAGTTTTCATGAATATTGGAATGACCTGAATTATGCATGCTCTTAATTATTTCACATGATTTTTTAATCAAATGTTTTTACATGTAATTTAATTAACAGGTCCTTTGCAGTTTGGAGCACCTCCCCCAGCAGGAGCCTCACCTAGCCCGGCATTCAGTCCCCAAGGTACGTTAATTATAAGTCTTATCCGACTCATACTCGAAAATATTCAAATTGGATGACTAGAAAATTAACGGCCTGATGTGTGCACCTGGGTGCACCATGCGCCCGATTAAATAAAAAAAAAGCCGGAAAGAACATACATGTAATTGACAATGAACATGTTTTTGTTTGGCAAAGAATTTACCCGAATCAAAATCAAATGTGGGTGAACTAACTAATTTCCCATAATAAGTTTAGACTAATTGGACAATTTACTCCAAAGCATAACGACCTATATCATAGTATATAATACATCCAACTTGTTGCACGTATAAAGAAACAGAGGAAGTAGCAATAATACAATACAACTAACTTAATTCTGTGTCTTTGAAAACATGAATCTAGCATCCAAAGCAACAGCCTTTACACCAGCACCCGAACCAACGGGCACAGAAGTATCACAGGTGGTGGCACCATCAACGGTGGATGTCGAGGCACCATCCTCAGTGGAAGTTGAGGCACCATCAAGGACTCCTAGAATTAGACCAGTGTTGACCCCATCAACCTCAAGTGCATCAATGATCCTCTCATCACCTACTACTATTTGGGCATTTCTAATGGGATTCATGCTATTCACATTGTAACGTAACATGTTTTTACGTATATATCAAGTTAAAGATTGCGGTCGAGTGCCCCCATAATCCATAGGCTCTTGTATGTTGTATTAGATTCATGTAATAATTAAATTTGTTTAAAAGCTACTAGTACAATTACTACTACAATCCTCTTATTTGACATGTCTTGATTCCATTTAAGCAACAATTGATATATATTTTTGGTTTTTCTTGATGATTTTGTTAAGAGAATAACTCCTGTGTGTTCGTGAATGGCAAAAGAGACAAACAAGAAAACAGGCTACTCCTCATATATAGATTCATATTACCAAATTGATAGATTTAAAGAATAATGTAATTATACGTTGGGATTATATGTGGTCAAACTCTCATATGACGCAAGCTTGAGTAAAAATGTGAACAAGTAAAAAGTTGACTCCTCGGCTCAAGATATTAATAATTGTCTAGCTTGAATAGCTCATGCCTTGTCTTATCTCATTAGCACCCTTAATTAGCTTAATTAGTTTGATCACCACACACAACTTGAATAGCTAAGTCCAAAGTCCTTTTTACATGATTGGGATCCTAAGCTATTTTATCTACATTTTGTAGAATTGGAACCCTAAAAATAAGGATAATACGCCTAGCAAATTTGAGTTGCCATGAAGAAAGATAGATTATAGGAAGTTAATAATTAACAAAAATTTGAGGCTTAAAACATATAAAAACTCCTAGCTTTTAGCCAATCTAATAGCACTAAATAAAAAAGTTTACCATAAAATTGCCCACATTTTAAGGCTTTTAATTTGTCCAAAAATAAGCACTCCACCATATATATAACCTAGGCTCCTCTCATGCAACAAATTAAATCTATCACACACGTACTGTTTAATTCAAAAACAAAAGATAATTCATACATCAACTAAAAAATGGCCGGTAACAAGTTTGTTGCAATGTTTATGATGTGCATGATTGTGGCCGCGGCCATGAACTTGGTGGTAGAGGCCGGTGACCCTAATGGTGCCGGTACAGAGGTGTACAAGAAATGTTTCGCTGACTGCCAAAACTCTTGCCAGGGAGGTGAAACCCATTGTGAGATGAGTTGTGATGAAAAATGTGATGAAGAGGAAACCAGGGGTATGTTTATCAATTGGGATATTAATCATAACATACCCTATAATTCTTTGATTAGCTTTATCTTATTGTATATATTATGGTTGTTAAATGGTGGCAAAATTATTATTTTAAGGTGTTAAATTATTAAAAATATATATATATTTAAGAAAATAAAAATCAAAACCAGGTTTTTAAAGGTGGTAAAAAAAAAAAAAAAAAACCTGTTACCTTTTCAAGTTGACATAAAATAGATTGATTATGGTTCAATTTTACTTTAACATTAGAATATGAAGGGTATTTTGGTTCGATATAAGTTGTTAAAGTTCTTTATATTGGCTTACGAGGCACAAAATATAGTAGCACACATAAATAAGGGTTTGATTATATTATAGGTCTTGAGTACCACCCTTTAATTAATTACTTTATGGAGGACTTTACAATGTTGCTAAACTAATTTGTGGTTTTTTTTTTTTTTTGTTTTTTTTTTGTTTCTTGTTATTACAGCCAAAGTAAATGGAATGGGGAAGAAATTGAAGTAAAACTAAATACGAAGCGATGGTTTTATACGAAGACGAAAGATGATCTAAATTACTGAGGAAAAGATGCACGTCTTCGTTTAGAAACAATCACGATTTGTAGCATTATTATGTTTAATGTGGCAAAAGAAATTTAAAAAATAAAATAAAAAAATGAATGAATAATAAAAATGTACTTTAAATTTTAGCTTATCAATCTTTAAGTCGTGGATAATAGTTGTTTTATTATCCATTAGGAAACTGTTTTATTTTGAGAATTTTTTATATACACTATTTTTGGTGTTCGAGATTAAACTTTATTTTTTAAACTTTGTTTGTATTAGTCTTCCCTTTAAATTTGGATTCTAAAAATTATACTACGTAAATATCAATATTTATGGCTGTTTGGATTAACAAATGAAAAGTAAATATAAGTTGATCATACAATCAATGTTATTACATTAGATGATTAGACTTAATTTTGTACTTTGTACTATATATACGAGTATATTTTTTTGCCTCTATTACTTCCTCTGTGTTTTTTTAAGTGTTACAGTTTCACTGGCACATAGTTTTAGGCAATTTAATTAATTTAAATAAAATAAGAGGTAAGTGGGATAGTTGGAGTATTAAAAATTTTAAAAGAAAGATAGTGGTGTTAATAGTTTATTGAAAAGTAATGAATGTGAGAGGAAATATATAATAAAAAAAAAAGTGATAGTGGATTTGGGTGGAGACCATGAAGGGATAGAGATATACTATTTTGATGTAGCTTTTTGCCAAAAAATGAAGTATAACACTTAAAAAATCACGGTCGGATATGGAAAGTGTAACATTTAAAAAACACGGAGGGAGTAGTATAAACAGAGTACAATACCTGGTAGTACTACATACATATATATGATATGAGACTTGAATCACTTAATATAACAAAAGGATCATTAATTATGAATTAAACTTAACGATTTAAACTTTGTTGTTTTGTTCTATTCAATTCATTGACCTTGAATTAATTTGAGTTGATCAAAATATGAATGATAATGATCTTGCTTTTTATCGTCAACTTTGAGCTTTGTCTTTATCTTAATAATATATTACCCTCCGATCCAATCCCATAATTAATCAAAAATAGAATAAGTAGCCTTGATTTCTTAGGTTATCTTCCTCGATCAGTTTCGACGAATTATCATCGTACATCTGTCGTGACCAGCAATATTTGACAATTATTATTACTACATATCAAATACTTGCTAAATAATTTGTAGATATGGACAAAAATTCATATAAGATTAACGTATATGGTTTGCATTGGGATTTGTCTAAATAGTAATAGTCATATTTCTTCCTCAAGAAATGGCGAACTCTATGCCTTGTTCAATGTCCATCTTCCTGACTGAATCCTTGTAACCTAATCAATGCCTACTAAATTATTAAGACTATATTTTTAAAAATTATTCCTAGCTATGTTGCATTATTTGCCAAAGTAATTTTTAATACTTTGTATACTACAAAGTATATACTTTCAACCTTTCTTTATCGTTGTAAGTTTGTAATATGTAGGGATTGCACAATGTTTTATTTCATACTTCGTATAATTTATGTGATGATTAAAGATTTTACAGAAAGAAAAAAAAAAATAACGAACTCATGTGATAGGCTGACGATGGAGAGAAGTAATGTATTTATGTGCAAATATGAATACGGTTCAATAATTAAAAACATAAACACGTAGATTACAAGAAAATATTGTTTTATTCAAAGAATGAAAGGAGGAAAAATTCTATGCCTTGTTTAGCTGTCTATCCTTGCCTTCTTGATTGCTTGTTATCGACTCAACATCTATTACTCCGTAATTAATTAATCTATCTATTATACTCGTATGATATAATGATAATACTATAGATGTATTTTAAATTACATATGGAGTACTTAGTATGTCGCACTATTTGCTATAAATAGACGAGGTGCTAGTGCTAACCAAACCACAACTCAAAAACATTTCTCCACATCTTCTAACATAGTCAAGAAATACTGAGAGAGCTAGAAAGAGTTTGATAGGCATGGCAAAGGGTACTTACATTTTAAGTATTCTCGTCGTCTTCTTCTTCTCCTTAGCCATTGTTGCTCACTCTGTAAGACCCTGACTATACATCAAAATTTTGTATTCTCATCGTTAAAATTTCTTAATCTTTTGCATAGTTTTTTAGTGATTAATTCATACATGAAACTAGCTAATTAAGCTAGATGAACCTATATATTAATAAGTCTAGTCACACACTAGTTGATCCTCAAGTTTTAAGATGTTGTTTGCACTATATACTGCAACGTACGTAGCTGTATACACTATTACTACTGTTTCGGATGAAAACAATCGAATCTCGGAAGATCCTTTTATCTTGAGGGAACTTGGTCTCGGTCCGAACGACGCAGGAGCCGAGGGTTTCCTGCACAACAAATACACGTAAACTAGCCTCGGGGGGGACGCCGAGGAAGGCCCCTCCGATGCTTAAGTCAGTATATTAGAGAGAGAAAGCTGTGCAAGAGTTTAGTTGCTTGAGGCTTTATTGTCTTACCAAGAATTGACCAAATTGTTGGCTTTTATACCTTGGCTAATGAAGGAGGCGGATTGGGCCCGGAAGTCAGTTGGGCTGGGCCAAGCTGATTGGGCCGTTGACTGACCTTGACATGGCTTTGAGGATGTTGATTTTTGACTTTAGCACATTTGGAGAGTTGAACCTTAACCTTGGGCTTTTAATTGGATCATTCAGTGACCAGGCCCAATTGGACTAAATTGGACCCAAACAACTTGCCCCCCAGACCCGATTTGGAAGGATGACGGGTCGGGTTTGATTTAATCAGAAAAGGAGGGAAGTGAATGATTTGTTAATCCAAAAATGTGAATTTAAACCGTAATTAACCCATGATTAATGAGATAACAACAGTTAATGTGGATAATTGCGGAAGTTGGATGGGTAGTGGGCGATTTAACTGCAAGGTCGTGTGTTTAACGGTTACTTAGTGGGGTGCTTGAGAGAAATTGAAACGCAGACTCCTTGAATTCCCATTTCTGGAGATATAAATAGAGGCGCGTCTTCTCTCCCCACTCATTCATCAACACAAACCCAGAATTCTCAAGAACGCTCAAGAGCCCGCATCAAAACTTCGCAAATTCCCCGAGCATTAAGCTTAGAAGCTGAGACTTGTCACTACCAATTCGTAAATCGGCGACTTTTGCTTCAGATCAAGGTAAATTCCTTTGATTTTATTTCATTTTTCTTCGAATTCGAACTCCTTCCCTTTTTCTTTCGACTTTTCTCTTCGAAATAGTCCATGGCAAGAGGAGTTAGAGGTAGAGCCCGTGCTCCAAGAAGAGCAAGGCCGATTCCCGATCCTAGGAATAGGATTGGGACCTGGAATGGTCGAAGGCCGGAGTCTGACCCTGCTGATGGGATTAGGGCGACTCCCCTTTCCTCGGCTCCTCCTCAAAGAACGGATGAGCCGAGTGCTTCTGGACGGGACGATGAAATTCCCGCTGTCCTTTGGGATATCCTCCCTGGGTTTTCAGAGTGGGAGAATGCCGAAGTCGCTTCGGCCATG